CCCGTTGGCATTAGTGGCTCTTTAAGGAGAGACCCCAACTTGCGTGCCTGCTCTATCTAGCCATGTGGTGACCTCCGCCATGTCATGACCCAGCAGGAAGGCCCTCACCAGGCACAGCGCCATGCTCTTGGACTTGCCAGACTCCAGAGCTGTGAGCCAAATTTAATTCTATTCTTTATAAATTACCTGGTCTCAAGTATTTTGCTATAGCAACAGAAAAAGAACTAAAAGACTATGAGAATTTCCTGTGCAACAGAGATCACTCAGCCATGCTGGATGGAGACAATTGGGACCTGAGAGCCACACGACGTAGATCTCCAACCACGGCTAGTGGTCAGACAAAAAGTGCCCTTAAAATTCACTAGGTTACCAGAAGCGGTGGCCCACGCCTGTCATCCCAGTGGCTCAGGAGGCTGAGGCAGGAGGATGGCGAGTTCAAAGCCAGCCTCAGCAATGGCGAGGTGCTAAGCAGCTCAGTGAGACCCTGTCTCTAAATAAAATACAAAATAGGGCTGGGGATGGGGCTCAGGGGTTGAGTGCCCCGAGTTCAATCCGGGTAGCCTCCCCCCAAAAAAGAAATTCTCTAGGTGGCCCTAGGAAGTGGGCAGTGGCCTTTGGTGCCCATTTTACAGGCAGTGAAACCGAGGTGGAAGGAGATGCCAAGGCCCCCCCCAGAGAGGGAGGCTGGGGAATCCTGTCTCCCTGGCTCCCCACCTGGGAAGGAAGGTGGCTGGGGGCAGGGCTGGGGGTCCGGGGCCTCACCTGCAGCTTCCAGATGTGCTTGCTCTCCTTGGAGACCTGGCCCACCGTCTCCCCCATGAGGGCGATGAGCATGTTCAGCAGCAGCACGAAGGTGAGGATGATGTAGGTGACGAGCAGGATGATGAAGACCACGGGGTACTTGGTGCTGCTCAGCATCTCCAGGTCGCCCATGCCGATGGTCAGCTTGAAGAGGTCCAGGAGGAAGGTGCTGAAGGTCTCGCTGTCGCGGCACGACGGGTACGTGGGCACCGTGCAGTTGGTCTGGTCCTCGTCGCACACCTTCATGTTGGCACACGGGTGCAGGAGGGAGACCAGAGCTGCAGCGGGGGACAGGGGTGGCCTCTGCTGAGTGGGAGGGAGGGAGTCAAGGCCAGAGCGCACCAGCCCCAGGTCACCCAGAGGGTTAGCCAAGCCAGCAGTCAGCTGGGCCCGCCAGGCTGCAAAGCCTCTGTCCTTTCCACAGACCCCCCTTATAAGGACGAAGCTTTTAGGATCTAGGCCAGGGCTTCTTCACCAGGGGCAGTCTCCTCCCCAGGGACATTGGACAATGTCTAGAGACACGGTTGGTTGCTGCAGCCGGGAGAGGGGGTGCTCCTGGCATCTAGTGGACAGAGGCAGAGGTGCTCTTGAACACCCACAAGGAACAGTTCAGCTCCTCACGACAGGATCGTGTCTGGCCCAAGAAACGCCAGTGTAGCCTGTCATTCATTGGGTCTTGGATCCACTCCGAGGGGCACACTGTCCCTCCACACCAACCCAGGTGCAGATCCATGGTGTCACAATCCTTGCTCAACAGAGCTCAGCAGCAACAACCTGACCCTAAACCAGCCAGGGCAGGGGTTCCAATTCATATGCTAATGTTATTTAATTGTACCTTGTGTTGAGAAGGAATCTGAGACCTGGTCTAAGATGCATCAGAAAAATGACTCTGGGATCCATTACCAATGTCTGCCACGGGCACAAAAATGGGAAGCAGTAGGAGTACGTGTGCATTGTTTGTGTCATGTCGGCCTCAGACTTGGGATCCAGTGACCCTAGACAGAAGCAGCCTCGGGACCTAGCTGATCACTAAACTGCTTCTTTAGCTTCCATTGCTTCTGCCTCCTTTTCTATAATCAGGACTTCAGTGGGGCTGGACCCCCAACCTGAAGCCCAACCTGCTGCTGAACATTGACTCGGCCAGCTCTTCCCGGCCCCTCCTCTGTCCTAACCGCCACAGCCAGGGCTGTCCAGCTCTGCTTCCTCCAAATAATCCACACAGAGCTTCAGGACCATCTGGGATAATATGTCTCCACCATCAGGTTCCTGCTGCCTGGCAGGTCCCCCCACGAAGCGGCTCAGAATTTAGTGCAGCCTGGTCCAGCCTGAGTTGGCCACTCCCCACGGGATATGGGGCATTGAGAGCAGATCAGCCACTTCTCGGGGACCAGTCCAATGACTCGCTCAGTCTCCCCGTCCTCGGCCCCTCCTGCATGGCCTGTGCCAGTGAAGTCCCAGTGTGCCTCAGGTGGGCCTGATGACATCACCGAGAGGCATACTGAAGGAAGCTGACACTGGACTTGTATCCACGCCCCTTCAGTGTGGCCCTACGGCCCCCCCATCAACGACTGGAGTCGAGCCAAGTACAGTGTAATCCCAGCAGCTTGGGAGGCTGAGACAGGAGGATCACAAGTTCAAGGCCAGTCTCAGCAATTTAGCAGGACCCTGTCTCCAAATAAAAATATTTTTAAAAGGGCTGCGGATGTGACTCAGTGGGGCCTCTGGGCTCCATTCCCAGTACTGAAAAAAAAAGTGAAGTCTATTTCCCCACCTCCTGACTCAGAGCTGACCTTGGAGTTGCTTAACACAGTGAGGCAGCTGGAATGCCAAGCCAGGCACGGGCCTTGAACACTTCTGCTCACTTTCTTGGGCCCTGAGACCACCCCCATCAACCAGCCACCCTGGCTGGAGGATGAGTGACCATGTGGAAAACAACCAAGGCCACCCTGGCTACCCCTGTCTGTCGGCAGCCAGCCTTCCAGGTGACCACAGACGCGGGGACCCACGAGACCGGCCAACCCGGCCCCAGTCAGCACCATCACCCAGCTGACCCACAGACTTGGGAGCAGATGGCTGTTGTTTGAAGCCACTACGTATCGTGGGTCTCCCATTTTATCACTAGCTTTTGAAGTTGGTCAAATTATCTAACCTTCCTGAGCCTCAGTTTCCTTATCTGTGAAATGGGAGAATAAGGACAGCGGTCTCACGGGCTTGTCAGGAGGACGGGACTCGGCCCCGGGGCCAGCGCACCAGCCCGTGATGGCTGCCTTTCCAGGCCCAGGCCACCCCCTCCCCCCAGGGTTCCCAGAACTCACCTGAAGCGTAGCCGATCATGAAGAGCAAGTAGACCAGCAGGAAGCGGAACAGGTCTTTGAAGAGGATCTAAAGCCCCCCCATGGGATCACAGAGGCAAAGAGGAGACAATGGTTTCTTGATCTGCGGGCACCTGAGAGGGACACCCAAGCCCAGGGGACCCTCCACCCCATACCTTCTGGATCATGATGCTGTAGGTCCCCGTCAGCTTCAGCCCCCGAGTGAAGTACAGGGCATTCATCCAGCCCAGGACCAGGGCAAAGACCATCACAGCCAGGTAGGCCTCGATCCCCGCCAGGTAGAGGGCCGCGGACACAATCACCAGCACAGAGTAGATGAAGCTACAGAGACCACGAGGGGGCCAGAGGGAGTGGGGACAGTGAGGCCCTGGAGGGGGAGATGTATCTCCAAGCCCTCCAGTGTACCACGACATCCCAATGTCATCTAGAGCCTCAAAAGAAAAGCAGAATGGATGAGCTGGGTTCCCCAAAGTTGAATGCTCTGCTAACAAAACATCAGTTAATTAGCAATGAATTGTACATGTGATGCCCCCGAGGCCCTAAGAGATCCCAAGGTGATGACTTTGGAATTGCTAGAGAAAGATTCGGTGGTGTTCAGTGGAGATTTTTGTGGCCGAGTAGATTTCACTATCTTGTAGCTCTGGGGGAAGGGGAAAAGACTAGCAGAGCTACAGGGACCCTCAGATCCTGTGCCCTATGCAGACATCACTAATCGATCACAGCTCTCTTTCCCAGTAAACCCAGACAGTCTCACACCCCTTCTGAGACCCAGCACTCCAGGCAGACATTAGCAATCCATCACTGGCAAAAGAGGCCAAAATTTTTCTATGATTTTGGTACATACGGTAACCCCTTAGGAACTACCTTCATATTCCAATCTGTAAATGGTACTGAGTCACTGGCAATATTTCTTTAAGCAGAAGACTCCACTTTTCTTTGTCCAGTTTGGATTAGTGCTGCCCAGATGAATGAATTCCCTCCTAATAGGGTTACCTCTTCCCCGAGTCTGGATGGCCCCAAAGCCCAACTCCACTGTCCCCACCCAGACGCTGTCCTCCCGGAACTCACTAGAGCAGCTGGAAGGAGCCATCGATGAAGAGAGAATTCACGCCAGGACATTTCTTCATGAACAAGTCTTTGATCTGAAAGAGGGGAGGGAGGGGGCCCGTGGCAGGTGGATCAGGGAAGAAGGTAGAGGACAGGAGAGAGGGAGGGACAGAAGAGAGGGAGGCGGAGCATGTGACAGAGAAGGGACAGGGGCTCTTGGTTGCAGAAGAGAACATGGAATTGGAGAAGGAGGTGGAAGAGGAGCCGGAGGAGGAGGCTGGGCGGGCTGGTGGCACGGGGACCAAGCACTCACGTTGGTGAAGAAGAACAGGACCCCGGTGAAGAGTGTGATGACCTCTCCTGCCAGTCTCAGGTAGTCCACGGTGGTGCGGTAAGGGTAGGGCGGCTGGGGAGCAGGGCACAGGGTCCTCACCCGCCCTCCACCTGGATCCCGCGCCACCTCCTCCCTCTGTTCCCACAGGTCTCCCATCTCAGAGCCACCCATGTAGGGGCACCTCCTCTGCCTCTTGCTAACCTTCCCCAGGTCCTTCCCCCAGGGAACCCAGATGGCTGGAGCCGCAGCCCCGCCCCCGCTCTGCCTGACTCCGAGCACTCACAGTGCCCTCTAGTGGCTGGTAGTAGGCAGTGAGGGTAAAGATGACCATGGCACACAGGTAGGAGACCACGTTGATGTAGAAGGAGACAGCCCCGAATTTGCGCCACTTGTCCCGCAGCAGTTCATTGATGGGTTCCACGGCCAGCATCTCATGGCGGTTCTGTGAGAGGCAAGAGGGTCGTGGCCACCTTCTGAGGCGGGGGATCCACACGGGCTGACTCCAGTATGCCCTCCTCCACCCTCCGCCCCAGAGCACTTCCCTTCCCCTCCCATTCTTCAGCTCTGCTCAGGATCTGGGCGCAACTGGACAGGTCTTCAGAATCCACCCCAAACTCCTGGGCTCAGCATTCAAGGCTCTGCCCACTCCTGCCTCAACTTACCCTTCCCACCCCAGTCTAGTAGACCAGAGCTGGAAAGCTCCTTAAAGAACATGTATCCTGGCTGGGCACGGTGACGCACACCTGTAATCCCAGTGACCTTGGGAGGCCAAGGCAAGAGGGTTGCAAATTCGAAGCTGGCCTCAGCAACTTAGCCCTAAGCTACTTAGTGAGACCCTGTCTCAAAATATAAAAATTAAAAAAAGGACTGAGGATGTGGCTCACCAGTAGAGTGGCCCTGGGTTCAACCCCCAGTACCAAAAAAGAAAAAAAAAAAAAAGCAACTATCTTCAAATTTTAATCTATGAATGGCATAATGAGTCAATGGCAGCAAAAAATCCCGTCTGCTGCTTGTTAAAAATCAAAGTAAAAATTCCCGGGCTCAATCCTCAGAAATTCTGATTCAGGGAGCAGGTCTGGGAAATTGAGCTAAATGAGGCTGAGTGATTAACTCATCACAATGCTCCAATTCGCAGCCCAGAGCAGACATCAATAGTTGATCCCTGCACAATAGCACTCTATGCACTTGCCTGGTAGGCACTACCCATCAATCAGAGTTTGCACCAGAGATGCTAAACCTGCAAACCCCAATTTAAATCAAGTTGACCACTAAGTTTAAGAATGAGGTCCTGCAAGGGAAGCCAAACTCACAGAGCCAGTAAGCCACAGGGCAGAACTGGAAGGGAGGTCATTTGTACCCATTCCAGCTGCCCCATTTGATTATCATCCTTTCTAATGACTTGAGTTTCTTCCTAACCATGGATCTGTGTGACAATAAAGCCATAAAGATGTAATTGTAGCATTTTCCTCATAGTTAGAGGCTGTAAACCCAAACAACCAGCAGTAGGAAAAAGGTTCATTAGAATGGGGCGCATTTCCATTCAGCAACGATGCTGTGCGAGAATATTCAGCAGCGCAGAATGATGTTCGTGAAATGCTTCTAAGTGAAAGAGAGGGCTTTCAGCACTTCATAGGACGCCCGCTAACGATAATGGCTGGCACATCATGGTTCATCTCTGCCAGGCTGTTCTAACATGAACCCATTTGGTCCTCCCCAAAACCCGATCGGATAAGACATGATCCCTCCCTTCAGTTTGCAAATGAGGAAGCTGCACCTGGAGAGGTTCAGTCATTCATCCTGAGTCCCACAACCTGGAGGTGACAGAGCCAGGATCCCAACCCAGCCCCCCAGCCCCACAAGCCTTCGTTACTTGGCTAAATGCCAGACACCATTCTGGGCTCTTCGTCGCCACCAACAGACCTGCCACTCTGGGTCACAGACACCCACCCACGACTCCCAGCCACCCCTTCTGCTCCCCCTGTGGCCCAGCCCCTGCCCCGGCGCCCACCTCGATCTTGCTGTTGTACACCAGGATCTCCAGCACGGAGACCTCCTCTCCACACGTGTCCAGGGAAGAGAGGTCGTACAGCGAGGAATACACGGGCCCGTAGGCCCAGTCCTTGAACTTGCGGGACAGGTGCCGCGTGTCCTCGTCTGTCACCTCTCTCCGGATGATGTGCTGAAAGATCTGCATGGGAGCAGGATGTGGAGTCAGAGGGCCCAGGGGAGGGGCCCCAATGCTCAGCCCTTGGAGTCAGAAGGACCCTGAGGCCAGGCACACGGAGCACCCTCCTCACCAACAGGCTTGGAGAAACGGGGCTTCCCCTGAGGCCACACACTCAGTGAGCCCAGGCTGGCCTTAAACATGGAGGTGACAGTAATGAACACCTCCGCATGGCCTTGGAGCAGCAGCAACTCCATCTTGTTAACAGACCAATCAGAAGCACGTTGATCCTATTACCACCCCTTTATCTTTGGTTCACACACAGGGAAACTGAGGCACGAAGAGGGAGTGGGAGTTGCCCAAGGTCACACAGTGTTGTACTAGGACAAAGCCAGAATCTAAACACAGGCCTGCTCTGCTGCCTGAGACCTTGGTTTAAGCCAGGCGCAGTGGTGCACACCTGTTATCCCAGCAGCTGGGGAGGCTGAGGCAGGAGGATCTTGAGTTCAAAGCCAGCCTCAGCAAACACAAGGAGCTAAGCAACTCAGTGAGACCCTGTCTCTAAATAAAATACAAAATAGGGCTGGGGATGGGGCTCAGTCATCCAGTGCTCCGAATTCATTCCCTGGTACCCCCCCTCCCCAAACAAACAAACAAACAAACCTGGTTTAACTGTGACTTTAGTATTTTTGCTGTATTTTTAAGAGTCCCATCCCTACCATTTACGGAATACCTGATACCTGTCCCCAGCTCTTTGTGGATGGTCTTTTTTACTGGCACAGTGATAGTCACCCAGAGGGCACTCTTATTAGCCCCATTTGATAGACAAGGAGACTGAGGCTCAGAGAGGGGCAGGGAGGTGCCTGAGGCCACGCACTGGCAAGAGGCAGAGCTGGGTCTGGACCAAGTGTTCCTAACTGACTCAAGGGTACTCCAGGCTTGGCTTTCAGTCCTGGCGATGGAGTCCTCCAGGGGACAATTTGGCAATATCTGCAGGCATCTTAGGTTGTCACAAGTGTGACGAGGGAGGGTGTGCCACCAGCATCTAGTCCATCAAGGCCAGGATGCAGCTAAGCATCCTGCAATGCACAGGACAGCCGCACAGCAAGGAGCCCAAATGGCTGCAGCATAGAGGTCAGGGTCTTGCTGAGTTATTAAAGCTGGCCTCAAATTTGTGATCCTCCTACCTTGGCCTCTGAGTTGCTGGGATTACAGGTGCGCACCACTACACCCAGCTCTGGGAACTCATTTTTATATCAGTGGCTTATCCTGGCTGGTGAGAATAGGGAGGTGAGCATCTAGTGAGGTGGGAAGAGGTGAGAGGCTCTGAGATGAACTTGAGCAGCCTGGCTGGACAGTAGGGAGCCTTAGCAGGTTCTTGAGCTAAGATGTCTGCAGGCTGGGGTTGGCATGATGACTGCTGATCACACCCTCGTCTCTGTGTGTGTGTGTGTGTGTGTGTGTGTGGAGGGTAAAGAGTCAGCTCCCACTCACCCCAATCTTGCCCGTCTTGGCAGCCATCATGAGGGGCGACAGGCCATCGTTGTTGAGCACAGCCTCCAGGTTGCTGTCAGGGAAGAGGCGGGCACACTTGAGCAGCAGCAGGTCGTACATCTTGGTGACAAACTTGGTGTTCTCGCGGGTGTTGTCAGCGATGGCCACGAGCGCGTGCAGCACGGTGTTGCCCCGCGAGTCCTGCCGCCGCATGTCCGCCTTCTTGTGCGGGTTCTCCGTCAGGTAGTTGACGATGTGAGGCTGGTTGGTGCAGGCAGCCAGGGACAGGGGCAGCTCCCCTGCAGGCCAGGACACACAGTCAGGGAGAGGAGCCCGGCACGGAATCCTGCCTGCAGACCCTGGGGTGACAGGACCCCCCCCCCCCGGGGGGCGGATGGACACAGCGCCTACAGTCACGTGACCGTGTCCCTGGGCCACTGTGCGCTTTCCTGGGGGATGCTAAGGAGGTGGGTGTGGCTACTGGGGGCGTGGCCACAGGGTTTGGAGGCTGCAAGGGATTGGATGGTGGAACTTCCTGTGGGACTCCGTCTCTGACCCCCACATAATGAGTGCCTGCATGTAAGAGTGACATTCAAAATATTTTGTTCCAACTGTGACAGTATGGAAGACATGGGTTTTGAGTCCCCCCATCCGGCCACTGGTTCCGGGATAAGCCAGATTAAAGGGCACACACAATAAGGTGCAGGTGCTGACACCTGGTCACAGTCCGCGGGTCCTCCTGATGTTACTCTCCAGAGGGGGAAGCTGAGGCACAGGGAGAGGAAGTCACGTGGCTGGGGAGTAGCAGATGGAGGATTTGAACCCAGGTCCCTGACTCCACACTGTGGTCTTGGGAGCCCTTGGCCAGCCCAGCTCAGCACATCCTCAGGGCTCTGAACACCAACTGGCATTCTGTGTCCCCAAGCTCCTCCCAGGATCCCCGGGCCCCACCAGGGGGCGTGGCCACAGGGTTTGGAGGCTGCAGGGGATTGGATGGTGGAACTCGTCTGGGACTCACCGAAGTAGAAGTAGCCGCCCTCGTCCTTGGGCTGGAAGAAGCGGCCTCGGGCCTGCGCGTGCACATCGGCTCCCTGGGCCACCAGCAGCTCCACGTAGTGTTTGCAGCGACGCTCGATGGCAATGTGCAGGGCGGTCTGGCCTGGGGAAAGGGTGACAGTCATCCGGGGCTCCAGCAAGGCGGAGGCCTCAGCAGGCCTGCTGGGGGTATAGAGTGGGGGGCGCAGGCCAGAGCCCCGGCCAGAGCCTCAGACGTCCCCCAGGTGTGGAATTTTGTGTGCTAGAAGCCCAGATCTGCATTAGAGCAGGATTTTTTAAAAATATATATTTTTAGATATTGATGGACCTTTATTTTATGCATTTATTTATCTGTGGTGCTGAGACTCGAACCCAGTGCCTCACACATGCTAGGCAAGTGCTCTATCACTGAGCCATGACCCCAGCCCATTATAGCAGAATTTTAAATTCCAAGGAGGCCCAACTTGTGGATCCTCAGGTCTAGAACTTTCCAGGCGCGCATGCTGCTTTCATCCAAGAGGAAACAGCATCGTGGCCTCACTGAATTTTGGACTTGGGATATCAAATCCACGGACTTGGAATCTTAACGCCCAGGAT